TCTCTGCAGGAACCCGTCGCCGCATGCACGAGTCTGGAGTTTACTGTATCATCTGCTGTGAGACGTGGTGTATTCATTATGCACACGGGCGTCGGTGAGTGAGAGTGCCCAAATGGGGTCGGCCTCTTTCCCCTTGCGGACTTGGCGCACAAGCTTGGAAGCGCCCAGGAGTGATGGGCGCCTTGGAGAGCCACATTATGCCACACCAAACCGTAGCGGGACTTTGCATCGTGGATCTCCCTGCAAATGCACGCCCGACGAGCCCCTCCATGTCCACATCGCAACCAGCCCGCGCCTTCAGCCTTCAGCTCGCCTGTGCTCCCGCGCGACAGACGTGGAGTCCGATGAAGAGACCACCGAACCTCGACAGCTCCACCTCCTCCGCCCACCTCCTCGCCGTGTCGCATATCGCCTGCTGAAGCTCGCCGGCGGCCGAGGACTCCCAGCATTCGCGCATCCGCCAGCAGGGCCGCTGTTCCTGAGCAAGACAGCGCGCGCGAATGATCTGGTACATCCTCTATCCGTTCCGTGGGTAAGTACTCACAGTCGTCGCTACACATGGCAGCGCGTCCTGCTAATATAACTGCCACAGTACGACCGAGCCGCCGCGGCTTTCGCCCTCCCACCCGCTGCGTCGCGCTTTCCAGGCGCATGGAACGGCCACAGCCCGCCATTGGTTTCTGTCTATTCTGCTCACCGTCGTCATTTCGGTGCTGCTCTGCTACCCCGCCCTCTTCCAGACCGACAGTCCCGCTGCAGCTGGCCTGCGCAACCTCCCCAAGCATGTCTGGACCTCGACTACTGAGTTCGAGGGCGCCAAGTCGGCGGATGTCGAAGTGCGCCAGGTCTGGGTTCACGGCGACTACATGAAAGCCCTCGATCGACGGGTGCTGCGCGAGGCTCTGCATGTGCAGCAAGCACTGATAAGAGACGGATTCGGCACGGATACATGGGAGCTATCCGACACCGACAACAACCCAACTCCAGCTCCTCGAGACGCCGGATGCTTGGTGCCCGCAGCAGGGCGCAAATGGGGTTACCATTCACCAATGCTGTACTGGAACTGTTCTGAGCATGCTTTGGATAGGGACCCAGACCTGCTCCGGACCATCAACTCCAACTCTGTTGCCAAGTCGGCTTTGAACGTCACTTTGCGCCCAAGCACCGTCTTCGCAGGAAAAGCATTTGCCAACAAGAAGCTGCGCGCTGCTGATGCCCTGGTGCTCACCTTGTTCGACCAGACCGAGGCTTCGATCGGACATGCATGGGACTCGCGCTCAAGACACTTGGCTCAGCACATGACTCCTGGATGGTCTATGTTTCCCGAGGATGGCCAGATTCTGAAAAGTCGACTGTACGAATTTCGGTTCAGACCCATGTCTTTGAGCGATGACCTTGTTTTGGGCGGCTCCTATGTCTTCGTTACTCTTTACGTCCTATGGAGGATGATGCATCTTAGAGCGGTCAAGAGCAAGTCGGGCTTGCTAATCACTATTGCCGCCAAAGTGAGTCTCATGATCGGCGGCTGAAGATTGAAGCTAAAAACCTTAGATGATGATTTGCGTAATCGCTAGTTTCACAGTATGTGCCTATCTCGGTGTTGATTTGGCTCGTATACCCCGTCCATGGTTTCCTGGTGTTGTTCTTTGCTTCGGGCTTGGTAATATGTAAGAATGTCAGTCGGGCCAAGAAGCATGTGCTGACAAGCAACAGTTTTCGTCTCATCAATGTAGTTCTGGAGACACCTCCCGAGATGCCTCCGGTGCAGCGCATCGGTCATGCTCTGGGAGAAGTCGGGCACTTGTCTCTTGCTATGGCGGCACAGAATCTCGTCTTGATATACCTCTGCTCAAGGATTGTACCGCCCTGGGTGGCCGACTTTTGCATTTTTGCCGCTGTTACGCTTGTCCTCGATTTTGTGTTTCATCTCACCTTCTTCGTCGCCGTTCTCAGCGTCGATGTGCAACGAATGGAGCTGCAAGATTCTTTGGCACGGGTCGACTTGAAGCCTGCCCCAAAGAACAGCCGTCAGGAGCGCCAATCCTGGCTTGCAGCCTTGCGGCAAGGGAATCTGCCAGTCAGCACTCGCTTCGCCGGACCAGTCGCCATCATCTCCCTCATTCTAGCTGTCAACTGGCACTTCTTCGATGCCGAAGCGCACCAACTGACGCCCCAGCGGTTCATGGAGCGTTTGCGGTCACGAGCGCTCAGACCTCCGCAGCCGTCACTCCGCGACTCTGCTCCCATCAATCAGGCCAGGACACCAGCGGAATGGCTGCGCCTTCAAGACCACAATACCGCTCGCGAGTTATTTGGATTTATCAAGCCGAATGCGCATAGCTTTATTGCTCGTGTCTATGACCCTCTACTCGTTGTTCTCGATGGCGCACAAGGACGAGACACTGCCCATAGGTCCAAATCTTTGCTCGAGCGAGTGCAACACTTCGGGCATGAGCATGCCTTCCCTGCTGCACTCATCGTCGTGTTCTTGATTGCTGGGGTTACCCTACTAATGAACTACCTCCTCTGGACTGGACTACCCGATGAAGGGGTTGAGCATGAGGAAGAGCATGAGACCAGTCTCTCCGTCAAGACACTGCCAATGCCGCAGACTCTGGACGTCGTTGCGCTTGCGTCCTGTCCCAAGGGCCATATTGCCAGCGTCAGCTTGGACCGTTCAACCTGCCTCTGGACACACGCGCGCGATAACGGCTTCACTCGCAGAGCAATGCACACTGCCACCATGGAGCCTAAACTGTGGCCTCTCGTTGGATGCACTATAGACGAGAGCGGCAGACTCATGGCGCTTATCGCGGACAGCGGTCGGATCGGCCTGTGGAGTATCTCAGCCGGACGTTTCGTCTTGTTCCCAACTATCGCGCTCCGGTCACAAGTTCCGGTGTTGTTTACATTCATGTCAACGCAGAATGGGAACGAGCAGAACAAGCTGAGTCTAGTCATTGTCAGTCCTGACGGCCGCCTGACTGTGGTGGGTACACGGACAGGTGAGCACCAAACCAAGTGCGTAACGACGGACCAGATCCTATCTGCTACGCTTTACACTTGCGTCAAAGGGGCTACCAGTGTCGTCTATGCCAGTAAATCGGGGGAGGTTTACATTCTACCTTTGTTCGGAGACGAATGGACGCCTGAAGTAGTTGCCGGCTTGGACCCTGGTCCTCCGCCCGGCAGCAATCCCTACAAGATCAGGAGCATCCACGGAGCACCATATCTCGGTTTAATATTCGCCATCCGGACGGAGGAGGTTGAGGTTTTCGGCTTCCACACCAGGGCACTCGTACACACCCTAAAGGTCAGCCCTGTCAAGCCTTCCACGTTCAGAGTCATGCATTCGACCCGTCGACTGTGCTCCTGCGGCGCTCCCGCCGTGCGAACTCTAGCTATTGCCTACACGACGCAGGGCGTTGATCGGATGATGATGCACACCTTCACATTCGAGGGCGCAAACTCGTTGATCTGCCTGGGCAAACCCGGGGAGACAGCAGTCCACAGTTGCAAGAGTCTGCAGAAGGCCACCGAGCGAAAACACTACGCCGAACCTGCAGGCGTGTGGGAAGTCACCAACACTCAAAGCATCGCAGGCGTTCGCCGGCCCGCGCCGCCATGTACCCCTCAGTCGAATTCGTCGTCGGACTCCGAGGACGACTATATCAGTGCCAGGGCCATCGTCCCAGCCTCGGCGCTGAAAGCAAAAGAACACCAATCGCCCGATGCGTCCTCTTGTAACCGACCTTCCAAACAAGCCCGACGCGAAAGCTCCTCCTCCGACGACGACGATGGCACTGAAGCCGACACCTGGGAAGCCTGGACGCTCTCTTCGACAGGCGAATTCCGCACAAGACCCCTACTCGACGACAACGACGCCTCACTAGACCAAGTACATCAACAACTCTTTGTCGCATCCCCAGGTCCCGCTGCGCGAGTCGGCAATAAGAGCGTTGCGCTAGGCTTCGGCAACACAGTCAAGATCATCAGTCTGGGGAAAGAATCGTTTTTCGAGGGCCGCAGTGAGCCGTTGGCGGATCGGTGTGAAGATGGTGATCTTTTAGGGATGGGCGTGGGCGTGGGGTCGTATCAGTGGCGTGCTAGGAAGGGAGGGGCGGGAAGAAAGGTGCAGTGATTGGGTGTGGGCGTTTCTTCGGCGTACGGGATATAGATTGGGTTGGGTGCGTTTGCAGGCGGCGTATAGTTTTTCGGCGTTTGGTGGTTGTTAGTGAGTAATGAGCCGGAGGGGACTTTGGTCGTTTTGGGCTTTTCTATATACCGGGGGTTGCAGGATACCGGTTTGGTGTAGATATCGGATCTATGTAATGATGTCACTTCGATTCCTCGTGCAAAAAGAAGTACTTTGGACTGCGTATGAGGCACAGAATGCCGAACGGTGTGGCTTGATACTACGTGGGCCCTACAGAACCCATTCTGTATTGTCACAATATACCTAGGTAGGTTTTAAGGTCGGTTGGTTCGCATACATCGCGCCGCGCGAAGGGACCAGAGCGACGAATATTATTTCAACATAAATCTTCGAATCAAGATAAAGCAGCGGCCGCTTAGCTTTGTTCATCCAAGCGTGGTGTCAATAGGGCCAATTCATATGCATCCTCTACATACGAGTTGTTTAGGGGCAGGCCACGCGCTAATATTAAGCATCTTACAATATACCCGCCGATTTTGGTCTGGCTCAAATATACCTTAAGATTTTTATTTCCTCTGCCTCTCGATTTGCAGCCCAGTTCCTAAGTATAGGTACTTTGACTGTAGTTTTGCGGCTGAAGTCGACATAGTGTCAGCACTACTGGAGTAGTCGTAATCTGCTAATGTGCTTAGTGTGGTCCAGAACAAGTCGGCCGATGCTTCGGAACGTCTCCCCTCTGCCTCCGTGCACCAGTGCTGCGGACTGGTCTGTCTCCGGTTTATTGGTCACTTTTGTTACTATATAAATTTAAATTTGAAAAAGCTTTTCATCAGAAACGAGTACTGGTCGATTAGCTCAGCTGGTTAGAGCGTGGTGCTAATAGAATTTCCTCTATTGCGACGCCAAGGCCGTGGGTTCGATCCCCACATTGACCTTCTTTTTTTTGTTTTTTTACTCTGTGTGCTTCTTTTCTGGCCTAGTATTGACTTTCGAAGCCATATATATATATATATCTGTGAACGTACCTGACCGCTCGATCCCTGCACCGGTGCTCCAAGCTGTCGTACGGAACAGGAAAGAGCGGGTCGTGGTACACATCATGACGTGCATGAGATTCCATGGCATTACGTCTCCAAACAAACATCCTCTGATGTCGAGAATTCTCCACAAACCCGTCAGAGATGGAACACTACGCTCCGCACACCAATGCAAAATTTGAAGGATTCTACTCCAAGTTCGGCCTTCCATCAGGCGCTCACATTGCTCTCATAATATGCAGCGTCCCCAAAGCAACCACACTGCCCCCGCATATGGTCTCCTTCACATACTATCCAAAAACAGGCACTGACATCTTTCGACGAGATCAATGGGTGCAGGATATATACCGCATCAAGACAGACGGAAAAACCCATGCCTTCGAGTTACGCGTCCCTGGCGTGGGTTTTATGAGATGCGACGCAGATTCAACAACAGAGTACTCGCTCGACGGCGACGGCTGGTCCATCCATGCAAAAACCAAAACTCGGACACCCTGGCAGCCTCGAATGGAGACACCAGAGGGATGGATGGTACGCCTGCCGTTGCCGCTGCATTGGCATGTGCACTCGCTCAATTCACTAGCCGACTGTGAGCTTGAGATTCCTTCAGTGGATCTACCCAAGGAGGACAACAAAGGCTGGGCCATGATTCATCAAGAGAAGAACTGGGCCAGCAGTTTCCCTTCCGCGCACATGTGGATTCAGGCATTCAATCGAGATACTGGCTCCACAATATGTCTTGCTGGTGGGAAGATCCTGGGCATGACGGCATATCTCGTCGGATACCGCTCCAAAGACCTCGACATCAGCTTCCGGCCGCCGTTCTCACTGGCTTTGTTTGGCTGGTCGCCGACTATGAGTGTGGATGTCAATTGGAAGCGTGGCGCTTTCAACCTCGGCGTGACCAGTTTCTGGAAGAAGCTGGAGATTGAGGCGGTGGCGCCTAAGGATCGGGGGGGATGGTTCGGTCTTCCCGCTCCCTTCTCTGAAGGGCATAGAGAGAACTTCTTGACTGAGAGTTTTCTTGCGGATGTAAAGGTGACGGTTTTTGAGAAGGAGGGGTGGATCTTTGGGGGCTGGCGACAAGTGAAACGAGAGTCTTTTAAGAATGCGAGTCTGGAGTTTGGGGGTGACTACTTCCCTGACAGAGGAACATGACCGGACAACGTATCTACGTGGAAGAGGAGACAGGTGTTCGTACGGAAGAAGAATGACTGAACGATATCCAATGACTACACCCCGCAACCTGAGCTTTTGGTACCGCTTTAGAATTCGCAAATCACGCCGCAATATTTACTTACAAGCGTTGCAATGCACAAGTCCTAGGTCGACTCCTTCGCCCATCCTGGGTAAACCCCAACTTCCACCATACGTGAAAATCAAGGTCGGAAAGGTCATGGTAGGGCTGAGAGCTTTCCGTGTCCATCGAACATTTACCATTCTGTTCTATACTACGCCTCTCTCAAACTAGTAAGCAGCCCGCAACGGAGATCCCCTACAATCGTAGATAACGGAGAGAGAGCCTCCAGGGCTTGGTCTAGTCACTTATTAAGGTTGAATACAGCTGCTCAACTCCCTCATAGTACACGCTGAACTTCTCACACATGCCTGATCTAAGGCCTCCCAGTACAGTCCACGTTGAATGTGCACCATATCCCGCTAATGGCGTCATTGTGCTTGTTCTTCAGGTTTCCGTCCTCTCTGTTGGCCATTGTAAAGAGCAGCGAGTTTCCGGCACAATTTTCATCGTCGTACATAGCACAACACCCATTGTCGACGCCTATAGCTGAGATTCTGTTGTCTGTAAAGCCACTTGCATCCCAGGTTTTAACCGCATTGCATCTTTCGTACTGTAACCGATTCCGGTGCGGCTTGTAGTCAGAATAAGTGAAGTGTTCTCCAGTGCCGCCTGGATCAAAGTGCCCATCCTCCTCGGTGCTATCGTAGACACGAATCTGCTTTCCACCATTTGCATTTGCTGGTGAAGGGAAAATATCCTCCTTCTTCCGCGAGAAGTCGATGTTCCAGACGTATGGGGTCTCTCCATCATAGAGAATAAACTCGGTACTCTTCTGAGCAACTCCCGCAACACCTGCAGCAGCTGCTGCCCCGGCTGTGGCCGATATGCAGTCTCTGAAGCGTTGATCTTTCAACACTTTTCCTACGAAGCCGGATTTTGATGCTCCCTGGATAGCTTTATCGCTCGGCCTACCCGCTGGCTTGAGATTCTTGAGGGCTTGAAAGGCTTCCGATGCTGCTGGCTTGGCTGCATTGAACAGTTTGCTGATGGCGTTGATGATGCCGGCAAAGCCAGCTATGTCCACCTGGGGCACTTCGATAACCGGCTTCGGGTAGACATCTAATACCCACTCTGGTATCTCAGCTTCCACGGGCTCTGGGACGCCTTCAGGCCAGAGCGCCGTTAGTCCGTTGATGTCGTCTTGAGTTACGCCTTCGTAGTCTGCTGCAACCCATGCGCCACCTTCAGCTAAGATGGCCCAGCACCATCCGGCTCGCTTCTGGTTTCGGGCGTTCCGCTCTCGATTCCTTTCTTTTTGACGTTCTCGCTCGCGTTGACGTTCTTTTTCCTGTTTCTCTCGCTCCTTTTCCTGTTTCTTCTGCTGCTGCTTGGACTGATACTTCGTCTTTGCCTTCCCCAGCTTTTTGTCAAAGTTTTCGAACTTCTTCTCCTTGAACTCGGCTCGTCTCTGTTTCTTTTTATCGTCGAACCGCTGTTTCTTGTCTTGTGGTTTTTTTCCATCCGCTGTCTGAGGAACGCAGGACTGGTGTGTTGGGTCTGCTTTGGTCTTTGCTGGGCAAGGAACACATAACCTGCACTTCCTACGATGCCGTACGGTGTTTCCAGTGCACCGCTTGCAGTCCTTACACTCTTTCTTCTTTCGCCCGCCTTGACCACCTTGGGGTGCTCGTGGGAACAACGAGATTTCAGAGTGTTGTTCTGAATTGTGCGTTCTGATGTCCAGTTCTTGAGTGCGTCTCCGCAGCGGCGCATGGTCGGATGGCTTGATTGCAAGCACACATGCGAAAAGTAGGAAAAGTGCCCCTAGAGCGCGCATACTTAGGGTAGGTATCGCAGCAGACCAACAATTCGCCGTTTAGTCCAGGGGAAACAATGCACTGGCAAATCGTACTATCTAGTACCGGTTTGAGAGGTGCCGAGAGAGGACACTAGGTGGAGGATAAGTCTGCTCGCTGACTATATACTGCTGACTTTGACTCTCTCTCTTCATTCTGCCACATTGCTGTGAAGTACACCGGCAACACCCTGGGGCAGTGATAGGGCCGGAGTGACGCCCGAGCAGAGGATTGCAGATCATGGCGTTTGAACCATCAACATTGCCTCCGGTGAAAGTGAAAGGATATCCGCTCAGCAGATCGTGTGTTACCACGTGGGAGTCGCGATGTATGGAACGGGTGTGGTCGGTGGTGGCTGACATTTGCAGCCTCACCGTAAGCCCCTTGGGAGGTCAGATAATGCAGTAGCGCCCTGCTGCGGGCTCTTTCCTCCTGGCTTACTCTGCCACCGCTTCTGCCTATAGTCCCATTATCCGGATGTTGGCTCACGGAGTTCCTTCCCATGGCGTAGTCGGTCGAGCCGTGAAATTTGCTTACACAGACACAGCCATGCTCACGTTGACTGAGTTATGGCGTAACACATCCAGGGCAATTTGACCTATCTCCATAACTGTCACTTGAGGACTTCTGGTGCAGTTCAATTTAACGATCTCTTACCACTATGGCTGCTTCGTGGTTGCACTTCATAGTGTAATGGAAAGAGCACCTGCCCATTGGAGGAACTCATCCATGGGTTGTGCCGAACGACACCGGTGCACTCTCAGGCCGGCTCAATAGTTGACCATGCTCTTCTTCTATTTGCGTTGCAAGAGGTCTGCGCTGACCCATGAACCGGATTTCAACATAATGGACGTTCGTAGGCGATGTGGAGGCACCACACAAGTAGTCGAATAACAGACCAAAGCGCGACAGAAGCGGTTGACCGTTTCCACAACGCATGCAATTTCCGACTTAGCATCCACAATACACGAATAGGAGTCTATCAATCTTCCGAGTACAGATCCCAAGCTTCCACAGCCAACCCCCCTCGCTGTCCCTCCCAAGTATAACACGCCTCCCCATCCGGTCCGTCATCGACATTCATGGTTATCTTGTCCGGATTGCAGCCCTCGTCACCGAAAATAACCAATGTCCAACCTCGATCGATCTCGCCTCTGCTTTTTACCAACACGGATGTCGTGAAGTTGATGCCTTTGACCTGGCAGCCCATATCGGGAGCAATTTCAACTGTTCTGACGGGCTCTCCCTCACAGTCGGGCTTGCTGTAGTAGGTGTTTTTGTAGCAGGACACGGATGGGCTGGATATCCAGAGGAGAACAAAGCTAAGGTGGGCGCCTTGGAAGCGCATGTCGGATGTTGGGTGTTTTGGGAGGAAGAGAGTGGTTTGGTGCCAGCGTAGTCAGTATGGGAAACTCTCCTTGGTGTCGTTCGTCGACTGAGGTTGATTGAGAAATTTTGGCAGGAAAGCACAAAGAGATTGAAGACCGTAATGAAGTTCAAAAGTGGTCGGATTACTTCTTCTGGGTGGAGTCTTGTAGGACCGGTGCCCAACTACTAGTGAATGTGGCTCAGGGCTTCCTGTCCGAGCGACACTTGTTTTTTTCAGTAAGCGTTTCATGTCTTCGAGAAGAACAGGCGTCTCACTTCCCGCAGTACCCTCACCGGTGACCGGGCGCGACACCGCCATACTAGTGGCTGTGCCAGCTTACACTGGTTTCTGTACTCCAGCGAGACTAATGATGGGATTGAGAGAGGGAAAGCTTCGACAGGCACTGCCCTCGGTATGGCAGAACTCGTGTTTG